TTTGTTACTGGACTGGTGAAATCTAATTATAGCATATACAACCAGTTTGGAGCTTCTGCCCTGCTTCTTGACGGTCTGCCCTGAGGTTGGCACTCATGATCGTGAGCCACTCCAGACAGCGTGACAATCATCATCCTTCCTTCCATTCTAGTAGAGGGGGTGGAGACTGACTCCAATCCTACCAATTCAGTCAATGTCTATTATTAAAGAGAGTAAGCATAAGTATGTGCTATTCTCATTTTTATCTGTAGCTATCAGGAACGTACTCTCTTATATTGTTGTTAAATCACATTTATTGAAAACCACTTCATGCTAACACTTCATGTTAACTACAGAAATAAGTACTAGTTCTCAGCAAGTTTCTTTCATATCTTGTCTCATCACAGATGGGTTCAATTATTAACATTTCTTTTGTTTCCATTAATGTTAACTGTAAGTGTAAATATACATACACATGTCACTGTTAATATAATTCGAACAATTTTAGAATTTTTCAAAACAATGCATATAGATAATCTCATTTGTAATTTCTCACTAATACCCATGAGAAAGTAATATTGTGAGTGCCTCTATTAAAACATCTGAAGAAGTGAGGTTCTTACCCACGAAAGCTTATGCTCCCAGTACTTCTGTTAGTCTCAAAGGTGCCACAGGACCCTCTGTTGCTTTTTACAGATTCAGACTAACACGACTACCCCTCTGATACATATCTATTAAAACAGTACAGAGTATATTGTTTAAATATACATTATCAACACAGTAAAAAATTCTTCAAACTAGCATTTTATTTCTTGAACTGCAGTTTGCATAATTCCAACCTTACAACAAAGTTTATTTTTATTTGTATCTATTCAATTTATTGAAAACCCACAATAATAATACAGGAAAAAACATCACAGCTACTAGCTGTATTTGAATGTTATTATGTAGTACTACATTAGTTGAGACAATCCCAAAGAATAAGAATGGAAAACATTTTACCACAATAATCCAATGACCTAGTGCATTGTAAGGAAGTATATCATTTTGCATGATTCCACTCAGTGTTCATTTTAAAAAAGAGAAAAAATCTGCAGTTATACTGGTCAATTAAGCAAACTATGTGCTTGAGATTATACTTTTTCCAGTTTAAATAATTGCTTAAGTACCTGCTTACTTTTATTCATTCCCTTACATCACATTGTATTTACTATTACTTAAGACTGTGCTTAGCTGCCTTTATTAAAATATGTTTTGCCCCCAGGGTGGCAGGAAAAATTATTAACATTTACCATCTCAAATTTCATTTCTCTGTCTTCCTGGCAGAATACTAGTGGAAACTACTCCAGAGATGGCGTGGCTTATACCTGTTTACGCATGAGCTTGTATTGAATGGATTAATCATTCTGTCACACAAAGAATATAATGTATTTCATAAATACATACCTAGAAAGGATGCTAACTGTTAAAAACAAGTTGATATGGAACACAGATTACAAGCATTTCTTTATTTTTAACACCCACATGTTCTGTCTTACTTACTTTAAAAACTGACTAACCAGTGCAGATACCATGTTGGAGTCATGGCCCCACTGAACTCTATAGTAAAACTAATGTTGCCTTCAACATGTCAAGTACTGTACCTCAGGTATATAAATCAAAATACTATTGAATATGTTTGGCAGCAGGAAATACAGCAAACTGCTGCAGCTGTTGGTTTATATTCATACTTCCATGCTATTTGGACTTGAATATTTTTTAAAACCATTATTTTGACCATTTCATTATTGATAGAATTAATTTGTCCATGTAGCAACACAAGAATAGCTTACCTTTCTGCTTGCTTTCTCAACAACACACTCAAATTCACACTGATCACCTACATTAGACAATGAGGATAAAGTTAACTTTTCAAAAACATTTGACGAATCAGTCCAGTTGCCCTCCATGTTTACTGTTATTTACATTTACCTTATTACCCAGCCAGCTTCTTGTCATCAGGTCATGAAATGAAGGGCCGTGCAAACTCATTTTTCTCACTTTTGCCTCCAGTCTGGCTGTAACTTTGTGGGTCTGCACAAATGTTACTGGACAAGAAATGTAACACATATTAGCACGTAATACAATCTCCTTTTTCTCTAAAAAAACAACAAGGAGTCTGGTGGCACCTTAAAGACTAACAGATTTATTTGGGC